TGATGGAAGGAGGTCCCTAGCAAGGCTTATCACAACTCTTCTTGCACACATCAATTTTCACAACTGTCTGAGCAAGGTAGCACAGCTACACCACCAAAGAGCACAGGTAGCCATACCCCAGGAGGAGGAGGGTGCACTGGAGGCTCTGACAGCTCCTTCCCGTCTATGAATTTCTGATATACTAGAAATCCTACTCTCTTGTGTGGTTGAAATACTTTCCCTTGGAAATTTTCATTGTTTGTGTATGCCAAATATCAAAATAAATTAATGATATAATTTAGCTAGACAGGTTAAATATGTGAATCATCCTTGTTCTTCAAAAACAAACAAAAAATACATATTAACAAAGAGGAGATGGTTTTCATTGTCTATCCGTTTAAATAATAATGATTTTTCATCATGTTTTATGCAAAACAATATTCATCGCCTCCTGCCTAAGTATTCACTCAACTAGTTAGTGATAATTTTGTGCAGCATCTATAAAGACCAGTGTATATGAAAATAGTGTCTCATGTTGACTCACTGCAGCTTCCTGCCTTGTTTTTCTCCAGTGATTTATCTTCCTAAAAGCAGGAGGGAAATGAAGGAATTTGATTCTGATACCCACTCCACTTACAATAAAGTAGAGGCGCATAAAGAGACCCAAAGCTACCATAATACTACAGCTAAAAGACAGGGAAGCTTTTTTTCATCCATGCAATTGAGATTCTCCAGTGTTACTACTCAGAATATTTTAAATGTGAAATTGCTAGGATAGGACATCTTCAACACACAGTCAGCAGGCTGCAATCTATTGTATACGGACGGTTACCTTCAGTGTTATCAGCTTTCGGGTCTTCAAAGGATAATTAAGCAGTAAATAGTTTGATATTTTGCAAGACTCTATTTTAAATCTTATCCGCAGATGCAAGAATAAGATCTTTTTAAGCCCATTCAAATAGCAAGAACGTTAATCACTTATTTACAGTGTACAGGCACAAGCAGAGGAAATGTGAAATAAAGCAAGACACATAGACTCGCTTTCTAGAAAGCAATCCTATCTCCACTCCACTGAATGATTTTTCTTCGTATGTTTAGGTTTCAGCTTATTCATATACTAGTGGTTTGCTTAAAAAGGCAGGTGCATTCCAAGCAGAATTAGAAGAATTCAGTAAGTTATCCTAGGAATCAACAGCCAACGCCTTCTGAATGTTAACTACTTATGACGTTGGCTTCTTATATTCCCATGTAACAGTATCAGAGGCAAAACATGTGAGGTGGGAGCCATTCTCTATTGCCTTGAAACAGCCATATTTTCATCCATCTGCACACAAAAAGGGTATAAGAGCTATAACAACACTTGGCACTTGCTTTATACCTGGCAAAAATATCTACAATATTAGCAAGCCATAGCCTTCCATTTTACATCATTAGACGTGAAACTGAGGGGCATATTCTAACGCAGGAGCACATCTGAGATTTCACCAGCTCTGAATGGTCAACACATGCCGTGTGTCCACTGACAAGTCAGAGAAATCACATGAAGAAATAAAAAAATACTGCTCCCTGGCAAGATTTGTGGTACCACGTGCAAGCCGCCCACAGGCTCCTAATTCTAAAATTGCACTACGCCAGTTTCACTATATGCCTTTCAGATTAAAAAAAGTCGGATGTGAGCCTGTTTTATTAAATTGTTTAACAAACAAAGAGAACAATGGAACCTTCTTCCAGGGATTGCGCAGTTTATCGCCTGTGCAGAACTGCCTTTGTAACTAGCCAAGAAATCAGACAATCGTTCACCAACATACAGCTGCAAACAGGATAGATACCTACCACATCTTCTGCTACAGCAAGTCCTGAAAGTTGCTCTCTTCTTTCTCCCTCAGCGGCAGCGTTTTTGAAAAGTGCCTGTTACAAACCAGTGAATAAGAACAAGACCAAACTTTTCTCTGTTTCCCCCAAATTGCAAGGTCTACAGTCCCCTTTTCTCTTCTTTCTCTCTTTTTCTTCCTTTCTTCCTTTCTCTTTCTTTCTTTCTCTGCTTCTTTAGGAACATCATCTTAAAATAAAACTTCATATTACAATACAAATTGGAAGGCTTGCTCTCAAGCCAAGTGTCTATTTTTAAAAAAAAAAAAACACCCAGCTTTGCACAAAATGTAACTAAGCTAAGAAATCTTCACCTACAAACCCCTATATTCAAACGTCTAAATGTTATTTTAAAAATGGAAGTATTTATTGCAGTAAAAAATACAACAGGCTGATGTTTTGTAATCAGAGAGGGTCCTCTGGAAGTTCAAACATCAGGTTAATGTTTCAGCATTTTGACTCCAGTTTTTCCTCTTTCTTGAGCAGTTTTTAATGGATACCTAATAATGAGGCTAGTTTTATATGTAAAACCATTTTTTTTATTAGACAAAACAAGGTAGATAAGACATTTTCTAGTGCACACTCTGTTGATCCACATCAGCTACTACTGCTACCTACAAATCTTGTCTTATATTCATCCTTTGACATCATGCATGAAATTTGCCGCATACCTCCTTAATTAATTTGACTTTTTAAGAGAAACTTTCGTGTCTCGACAACATATTCTTACTTTTTAAATCATTTCCAGTCTTGACTTGATCCTTCAGTACAAATCAGAATTTACTTAAAACTAAGCAGATTCACAAACTTCTTCCCTACTTCTCATATTTTCCTGTCACTACTGTTCTTCCCCGAGAATGCCTCTGCTTAGAGGATCCATGGATTCTCCTGTACCCTGGTTTATATTCTAGGTACGTACTTTAATAAAAGCAGTTTCATCCACAGATCTACGCAGTTCATCTGCCTACGTCGCCACGTAAAAGAGACATTTGAAAAGAAAACCTGACCTGCAATGCCTGCACTTTTACAGGACAGTAGCAACTAAAGATTCCCATTTATACCGATATAGGAAATATACCATTTCTTACTCAACATTTTAAAGTAAAGGTAAATTTGTGAAACAGTAACTAATAGAAGAAATATGCACCATCTAAATCGCTTGACATTATCCAGTATGCTAGTTATCGTGTCACACACAAATACTTATGATGAACAATTAATTTCCAGCATTAACTAGAACTGAGGCTAAATACAGAATAAAACAAGCTAAAACAGCATACTGCATCTGCAAGGTTTTTTGTATTTGTGAACAAGTAAACCTTTAGTTCAAATAAATATAAAAGTAAATCTTCAGTACACTGTGTACTGAGGAGCCAGCAGAGTAAAAATTTTGCTGAGAAGTTACTAGTTCTAGATTCCCCAGCTTTGCATAGCTTTGAGAGAAAAAAAAAAGACAAAATGAGATCAATACTTTTAAAATACATCTCTGTAAATAACATTTAGATCTCAAAGTGAGATATTTGACAATGTCTCAGGAGTCAGCTGCAGTTCATATTTGCCTTTTCTTCTCTTAACTTTCCTAACCAGGATCACCAAAAAAATGTATTTTACTAACAACCATTTAAGATAAATCTGCGTGGGTATGAAGACAAACTCTCTTCCCATTTTCTCTTTATAAATCAGGACACATTACATTACACAGAAGCAGCCCAATAAGTTAAAATGAAGTATTATATTTCACATATACTGATTTTCTACTTGAATTATTAGAGGAAAAATAATGCATTGTCTTTCAGTATATACTATTTTATGTACACAAAATATATTCTGCTGTTTAACAATTTATATGGTGGCTTAAGAAAAGTGGTTATTACATTTTACCTATTTAATGTATTTCAAATAGTAAGGGAGCTCCCAGTGTTTAACTGTAAGAGATAAGAATAAGCCTCCTTCCAATTAGCCTTTCATACAACATTTCCTAATTCTTTTTACAGTAGTTTTTATATTGTTACCCAACAATAAAGGGGTTAAAGTTTTGTGTAGCAGTTTCATGAAGGGTTTACCACTAAATGCATTGAAGAAATAGGTCAGCCAAAAAATGGTTCTGTGCCATCAGCCCAATAGCTGTTCTGTGTGACACCAGTATTGGCATAACAAGAACGGAGGTCTGAACCTTTCTCTCCTCAAACTTCATGCATAGATTATCTAACAGAGTAAAATCAGAAGCTGTGTCACGTTTTTCACAAGAGTTATCTCTCACCAAAAAAAAAGCCCATATCAGGCAGACTTAAAAAAATATATTTTATTTAGTAACTGAATAAAATACACATTGAACTGGATATTTGGAAATTAATCTTACATTACTGAAATAGCTTATGAAATATTTTTTGAAAGAGAAAACCGATAGTTAAGTGAAAGGCCTAGCTCTGTCACGTTTCACGATTTAACTGTAATGAGCACAGGAGGTCGTTACAGTTTTAGAGTAATTGATTTGCATTGTACAGATATACAGGTCATTATTAATTTATTAGCACCTCAGTCAGAAGTTTGGGTTCTATTTTACAATGGTTACTTATACAAAGAAACATGGGATCAATGCAATATCCTAAAAACAAAGTGCTACTGAGGCTGGGGAGGGGGGGCCTCTGCTAAAACCAATGTAAATAAATTAAAATACTACAGATGAGGTTCATAAATTACTGAATTCTGTAGCATATGGAATATACACAAAACAATTCTACAAAAACATGAATGTGATTGTAAATTGATAAATAAACAATATGTTAAATAGTAGAATCTCCATAAAACAGTAAATTATTGCCTCCACTTTGAACAATGGAGGCAAGCACTATTAATAGCTAGGAATTCTTTTATGTAAAATATTAGACCTCTCCTGAGACCTGTTTCTGAAGCAAAAGGTTTACGTGATTCATCTGGTGGTGTTTTTTAACTCCAACACAGCTTAGCATCCTCTTGCTTCTGCAACAGTATAATTAAAAGCCTTCCTCGAATTTCAACAATACAGTGTTATTCTTCAGCCAGAGCCAGCTTTAAACAGGCATGAAAACACACAAAAAATCTGAGGCAATCTGATAGTATCCAAGCCAAATCACGTCAACAAGAATGCTTTCGCTCCAAGCTTAAAAACGACTTTATATTAAGTACTGATTGTCATTCTGCAGGACTCCTTCCTCCACTGACTCTGTTACCCACAACTCAGATACGATTTTAAATTTTTTCTCAAATGTTCTCCTTAGTGCTTTCACCTCTTTTACCCGGGAATGATCTTCTCCTGTAACAACATGGGAGACGCCCTCTTCAAGGTGAGAGACTACTTTCGCACCATAAAAACGGAGCTCCAAAGCTCTAACTGATAGTGTTGTTCCATGGATTTTGGTTTTGGGCTCATTAACAACAGCATAACAATCCACATAAACAGTGTTTCCTCGGAATATACTGAGCTGACAACTGTTCCACGAATAACGTTCTTCTAACTCTGCAATTATGTCCAAAGGCACCACCTTATTGTCTTTCATTCTTGAGAACACTTCCTTGAGTTGTGCAACATCTACGTCTGCTGTGTAGCTGTCTCCATAACAATCATACTCACGAGCAAAATGTTCTTTCGTGTCAGGAGACATGTGAATCATAAAGGCTGGCTGCCAAGGCACCAGCATTTTGGTTTGAAAACACTGAAGGAGCCACTCTGCCCTCACCACATCGTATTTGTTGGAAGCAATGATGTTTTTCACTCTGACGTTCTCAGCTCCTACAATGACACAGTAAGTCTCCGGCCCTGGGTTCTGTACCACGCTGCCGCCACATTCAGCTATTCTGCTTTCCAGTTCAGACTTTGAGTGTTTTCCTGTTCCTGTCATAACACAAAACTCAACATCCTCAAATACATTTGAAACCTTGCTTACATTAGAAAGATCAGGAGCTTTAAATTGCTCAGCTATTCCAATTATCTTCTTCACCTTTGGTACAGTTTTCCTTTTTTTCTCTTGTGGCTCATCATACTCATCTATATAAAGGTGCTTAGATGCCAGCTTCCCTTCTGCTTTGCTTCTGAGGTCTTCTAACATGTCTGAAGTCATGCATTCATACCATTCTTTGTCCTCTCTTATCTTCTCAATTCGGGGGAATCTCAAAGTACAGTCAGTTTTGTACATGTCACTGTCAACAATCTCGGCTGCCTTGATTTGAACGATGACAGAGTTGCAAGGTTCAATGTACATTTCAGGTTTTTCAGTTCCACACAAAATGTTACAGGGAGGGTCCTTCCTATTGTAGGGCTTCCAGTGTTTAGCCAGTTTCAAACCTAAATCATACAACTCCTTCATAGTATAGCCAGAGCCAACACGACAAATAGAGTGGAAAACGGTTGGTTTTTCATTCACAGGGGGCGTCTCTGCAATAGCGCACAGAAAATGAGACATCATTCCACCACGTGAGCCCTTTCCCCAGTAGCCACCAACAATTAAAAGGTCTAGTTCATCCATCAGCCCACTGACGTATTCTGGCTTGATTTTTAACCAGCCTTCCCCACGTTTGTCAGGCTTGTAGGTGGACATGGGATCTTTCACCATAATCCCTTCCTCTCTGTTATCTATCGCCTCATTTAAAGCATCAATTACTTCTTTTCTCGTTCTGGCACTTTTTTTATGTACAACATATATCCTCCCCTTTACCGGGGTAAACACGCTATTTAAGATTTCGTATCTTTTGCTTAGCACTTCATGACCCAGCTTCTGATCGTTAACCATCAACACATCAAACACACAGAAGCAGGTCTGAAGATCAGAGTCCTCCACCATTCTTTTTATGTCAAATTTGTTCCCTTTTTGCATAAAGGTTTGCGTCTCAGGGTTGTACGCCATCATTTCGCCATCGAGAATGCAATTTTGTATATTGCTCTTAAATACATTGTGAATAAACGGCGTTAACGAACCATCAAGGGGAGAAGCACCAAACTGCTGAGTATAGTCAAACCCGTTTCGGGAAAAATATTTATACACATCTCCGTCTTTGTGCATCTGCATGCGTTCACCATCCAGCTTAGTTTCTATGTAGAATATCTGGTTATTCATTTGCTTCTCAATTTGCTGGACATCGGCAATAGCAGCAAGCATTGGCTTAAAGGCAGAAAACAACATGATAGAAACATCGCTAAGTGAGACGCAGGGATCATGCAGCTGTCTGCAAACTTTTTCCAAATCAGTTGTGACATTGTGTAATTCAGCAGCATCGGGATGAAAAATGGAAAATATAGTTTGTTGACTAACACCAAGCTTTAGATCCTTTATAATCATCCGGATGAGCCATTTTTGTTCCAGTGCTGTGCTCTGGGTAATTAACTGAAGAAGACTTTTCTTTAACAAATCCTTTTTTTTGGCAGCATTATTATTAGCTATCGCATCTAAGTGCTCATTGACTTGTTCTATTGTCAGTCTCCCTTGTTTTGGGCTCCTAGGTTTTATCACAAAGTATGCGATCATTGCAAAATCTCCGGCATCTCCACGTGAGCCAGCAGGTGTTCTGTAATTTAAAAGCTTTGCAGCATCTTTTCCATCTTTTGGTAAATTAAGCAGTTCAATATACAGCTTCGCAAGCATAGTTTCTTTAATTCCATACGCCATCCTTTCTCTTTCCAACTGCGGAAGAATAAGGCGCATAGCTGGATAAAAAGAATCTGTGACGTCTTTCTCTTTTTGATGAAGAGCATCATGGAATTTTCTCCAGGAATCCAGGAAATCTTTGAAATACTTGGTTTTCTCTGGACGAGATTTACACGTCTGTATTCGCTCCAGAGTGGAACACAGATCTGCAAAAGGCACGTGAGAGGCCACTGTTTTTTTAGGAGAAGGCTGTGAAACAGGTGCAGACGCCATCAGAGTCCGTTTTTCCCTGAGAACAAGAAAAGCAGATATTTGTAGAGAAAGAAAAGGCCGGCATGTTATTCTGTCTCAAAAAAAAAAAAA